CCCAAAATCAACGAGCCCCGCCCCCCAGGGTTGGGGGGGGATGTCACCCCAAGAAGTGGCCCTGTACAGCACCTGGCTGGGCAGCACGGGCCGATTCGGGATGCCACGGTCCCATGCCAAGAGGACGCCGGTCTCTGTTCGCCCTGGGGTGGCTTTCTGGCTCCGGGCTCCCTCCCCAAGGAGGAACATGGGCCAAGCAGGACGGTGGGGACCGTGGTGGGAAGCAGGTCCCATCTTGTCCCCATCGCCCAGCCCCGGGGCTCAGTACCCTGATGTAAAGGAGCCGTTGGAAGTTTCGGTGTAGAAACAGGTACTGTGGGATGTACTGGTGAGGCTGTAGGCAAAATATGCCACGGCTGAGCCCAGCGTCAAGCCTGTCATGTAGGACACGGTCATGGTGTTCCCTGTGAAAAGGGACACGGGGTGTCAGGGCAGTCTGGCCACCCCCCATGAGATTCCCGGGAGGGCTCGGTCCTACCTGCCAGCTCCCGCTGCTCGGGGCTCACTTTGCCGGCAGCCAGGATCATGGGGACGCTGCCGAAGTAGCCGTTGGTGATGCCCATGAGGAGGGAGAAGATGCAGGGCCAGGCGGGGTGGCCGAAGGTGGGCCTCCCATTGGGGTAGACGCACATGATGAAGAGGGGGATGAAGACCACGCGGAGGCAGGAGTAGATGAGGAGGTGAGTCCCTCTCCAGTCGTAGGGCAGGGCAGCCAGGATCTGCAGCAAGGGGCAGAGACCATGCTGGGGCGGGGGGGCGAGGAGGCTGGGGAGGGCAACATGGTGCCCAAAATGGGGCAACAAGGAGGAGATGCGATGGTGGAAAGACCAACTACTGCAGGAGCCCAACCTCGGCCGTGCCGGTGAGCAACTCCATGCTGGTTAGCTACCCATGGGGTGGAGATGACCCTCGGTGGAGGCAAGCGGCTTTGAAAGAGGACACAAAAAAAAAAAAAAAAAAGCAGGCCCCCCCCTGCGTTGCTGTTGGCCTCTTTCCTACCTTGCCGACGAAGTCGGAGAGGTTGAAGATGGCCATGATGAGGATGGGGAGCCATTCCCCCAGTGTGCAGTTGTGGATTTCCGATTCCAGCCCGGGAAAGAGGCACAGCGTGATGAAGTACGTCATGGCGATGGAGAGCATGTAGGCCCAGATGAGCCGGGACACGACGTAGCGGTGGAGCAGCATGTCTGGCAGGGATGGGCAGCACGGCTCAGCCAACACCTGCAGCCCTCCCCTTGCAAAGCCTGAAATTTTTCCCTGCATTGCAAAGGTGGCTTCCAAAAACCAGATTACCCCATGGTTTTGGGCATATTGAGAAAGGGTTGACCCTTCCCCAAAGCCCTGGGTCACCAATTGCTTATTTTGCCCCACAAAATGCTGCAAAACCGCCCCGTTGGCATGGCTTGGGGTGCCAACCCCGAGCCCACCACCCACCTCTGAAGCTGGGCCAGCTCCTCTTGATTTTGGGCCGAGGGACGTCGAAGCGCATGTAGGTGCCACTGCCAGCCAGCTCGGCTTCGGGGCCCGGGCTGCCCCGGGGGGAGCTCGGCTGCTCCCGCTGCCGGTTCTCCTGGGTGGGAGGAGAGGGGACACCAATGCTGAGCTCTGGTGGCGAGAAGAACCCCAATGGCCAACGGGGAAATCTGCCCTTGGCTTACAAATCGGATGTCCTCAGCGGTGACATCGTGGTGGACACGGTAGCCCGTCCCGCGGTCGCTGGCCCCCCGGCTCTCAGGCAGACCCTTGCGGGAGGAGGCTGTGTAGTACCGGACGAAGCGGGTGCGCTTCACCAGGAGGTGAAGGATGAAGCATGTCAACTCCATGCCAATGGAGATGAAGAAGAAGATGACCGTGTTCTCCTTCTCGTCTGACAGCAGCAGCTTGGTGAAGATACGGCTGAGCGAGATGATGACCCCGGCGGTGCCTGGTGGCATGGGAGAGCTATTGGCACGTGGTCCCGCTGAGCCCCGTGGCTCAGGAACCCCCATCAGCCCCAACACTGGGCGGATGTGATGCCTCCAAGGGTGGAGAAGCTACCAGTGGTGATTTTGGGGGTGATAAAGCCGGTTCCTGGCAGACATCCCCACCCCTAGCTTGGCATGGCAGTGCAGTGGGTCTTGCAAGTGCTTTAGAAACCATGAAACACCCCGGTTTGCTGGGGAGCACCCTGGGGAGTCCTTGATCTGCAGGCAACCCAGCTGGGCTGTGCTGGGGATAGCGGGGCCCTGGCTGTGACTCCCTGGGACCCCAGGAGAAGGTCCAGGAGGGTCCCACCGAGCAAACCCGTGCGATCGGACGTGGATGTGGGCAGCGGACGCAGGTACTTACTCTCGCCCGTCATCACTCCCTGCGTGTAGCGCTTGGGCAGCAGTCCCGTGTAGCCGTAGAAGCTGGATTGCTGCACTTCAGGAGAGATGTGCCGAGGGGAGAAGGAGGGATTATTGCTGCAGCCGAAATGCCGAGTATTGGGAAGAAACCCCGGTGGGAGCCCATGTGCTGTGCCATCCGGGAGCTGCATCCTTCCCGAACAGTCGCTGCAGCACCCGAAGCCTCCTTGCCCCAAAAGCAGGGCGGTTTCTTGCCCTCCCTGGATGCCCCACCACAGCTGTTCCTACCGAGTGGCCACCAGGTACAGGGGCTTGGGAAGCCACCATGGCAACTCAGATGATAGCAAAGCCACCACGGTGGCCCAAATCGATGGTGTCAGGGACCAATGCACGGTTTGGTGCTGGTGCCCCTGGTCAGTCCCGCAATGCCTGGACAGAGATGGAGTGGACGGAGCAGGGACGCGAGGGTCAACTTAGAGCCATCAGAGCAAGAGGCTGTCCCAGGAGACCACGTTTCTTGGGGATAGGGCTGTTTTCCCACCCCCACCTGAAGGGCTGTGCTCGCCCCAGCGCCGACCACTGTCCCCCATACCTGTGCAGCCAAAGGCCACCACCCCGACAGCGACCAGGTTGATGGCGTAGGCTTGCCTGCGGGTGAAGAGCTCCAGCCAGACGTCACAGATGCTGACAAAGAGCAGGGGCCCCAGGGCGAAGAGATAGCCTGCGGGTGCGAGATGGAGGGGGGGACGGTGGGGGGACAGCACAGGGCCAGCACATCCGAGGGGCACAGGGACCCCTACTCACCCACGGAGATCCGGGTGTGCAAGCTCAGCAGCTCCACCAGGGCATTGTTGAGGATGACGGCCACCAAGGCCACCAAGATGTAGGTGAGGCTCATGTCGAAGACGATGGAGGTCCCTGCAGAGAGGCAGGTGATGGGGGGGGTGGCAGGGGTCCGGCTCCCCTGGAAGCGGGGCTGAGCTCTCCCCAGGTTTGGGGTGGCTGGGAAGTGCTGCAGCTGCTGGAGACCTACCTGGGTATTTATGGTGCAGGTAGTCCACATCGGTGATAAAGCTGTTGTACGGCAGGAGAAATCCCACCCCCGCCAGCAGCATGGCAAAATAAATCCCATGGTATCGATCCTGGGGCTCAGGATCCTCAGAAACTGCCCCAAAAGTGAAAAGAAAGAGAAGAAGACATGACAGTGGCACTGCTGCACCCGTGGGACCCACAGCAGACCCCAACCTTGGGGTCACACATGGTGCTTCCACCTCCTTTATGGCAAATATGGCAAATCGGTTGGACTTGATGATCTTTGAGGTCTCTTCCAACCACAATGATTCTATGAAATACGAGGGGGTACTACCCCCACA